CTTATAAGTACAAGCTCCAGAAACTTTAAACACATATAGACACAGATACACAGATAATTCTTTGCTGACTTAGAAAAGGCAAGAATGCTGGTAGGAGCAGCTGCAACTGAAATACATTCCCCAATGTAAGCAAGCTGGGAGACCAGGTGGAGGCAGTTAATTTCCAGAAGAAAAGTGGGCGTTGGTTATCATAATAGACTGCTGTGAGAGGCACATTGGTCTATTAGTTTTCTGGATGCAGCTAATTAATTATAGGATGCTGAGGAATGAACTAAACAAACCACTAAGTGTGAGTATCAACAACAAATCAACAAAATACAAATCCAGGTCTGGGGAACAGAGAGGCATTTTATGAGCTAGAGAGACTTATTCTATTCTCAGCATTAAATCAGATTCCGGGCCTACAACTGACCATAGCCTAGTCGTGAGGAAGGGTGCTGCAGAAATGCTGAACCTAGCAAATCTCAGACTTTCTCAAAGGCTTTGCAATCCTTAATGGATACCTATCCAGGACAAAAAAAATACCCAGACTTTTGAGTGACCAATATTTACTAATCGTAATTTCTGGGACCTAAAACATCACTGTTTGCTTCAGTATAGTGAGCTTGTGTGAAGAGGTAAGTGAATTCTAGTTCAAGTTCACCTTCAGGGAGCAGTACTGGGATTGAATGTTCATGTATTATGGACTCTACTTGCCAAATGAATAGTTGGAATAAATACTCTTGGCAACTCACAGAATTCCTACATTGGAGCACTGAGTGCTAGAAGAAACACTATTGTGATAGGAAGCATCAGTGGGGTGTCAGAACAGCACATTGAAGGCAATGCCTCATCCCTAGAGAAATGCAGAGATGTCACCACCAGAGGAAAGATACCACCTCATTCTCATTAACTTCTCTTTAATCCCAATCAGGCCATGGCTCTGATAATAGCTACTCTTCCAAAGGAGGTTTGAGTCTCTTTTTTTGTTTGTTTTTGAGACAGGGTCTCGCTATGTAGTTGAGACTGACCTGGAACTCATGCAGCCCAGGCTGGTCTCGAACTCACAGTGATCCTCCTGCCTCAGCCTCCTGAGTGCTGGGATTACAGGCGTGCACCACCATGCCCAGCTTGGTTCTCTTTAATGTAGCAACTTCAACAGCCCCAGACACTGTGGTTTGCAGTTGTCGATCTGGGATTTAGTTTCAAATTTTCTTTTTTTAAAATTAATGTTATTGGTACATTTAAAGTATACAATATAATGATAATTCATCATTGAAAATTTGTACCTTTACATAATCTATCTTGGTTCTCATTTTTCCCCCATTCCCCTGCCCTCCCTTCAACCCCTCGACCCCTCCCTATCTACAAAGACTTTGTTTCCATTTTTTCTTTTTCTCATATTAATTCCATTTCCTTCTTTCTTTTCTCCTACCCCTCACACTTTCCCTTCCCCTTTTCTTTCTATTTCACATTATTTAGTATACATTTTAGTCCTTACACTTTCATTAAAATATCTTTTAAAAATTTTTTACATTATATACCAAGAAACTTTTGACTTAGTCATAAATTGTTTTTATTGCCTATCACTCTTATATCCCTATTCATTTCTGTATATATAAAATAGGGCTCATAATTGTACTTCCTGCTATTGGGACAAAAATTAGGTAATCTACATGAGTACATAATAAGTGCTTTGATATGTTATTTCTCACTACAGATAGTTGGGCATAAGAATCTAGAATTATTTTTATTCATTGTTCATTTTTCAGGCATTATTCTTAACTCACCAAGTGGCATGACAAACTTTCTGAACCCATGAATGTCTGAAATTTTTTTTACTTTCCCCCAAACTTAATGCTAATTTGCCTGGATAAAGGGTTCCAGGTTTAGCTTTGAAGATATGGCTTCACTGAGACATCTAATGGCAACCTAATTTCCCTGCTTTATAGGTAACCTATTTCTACAGAAAAATCTCTCAATTCCCTTTCTTCTAGGCTTTTTCTAAAATAAGGTTATTTTTTAAAATTCATTATTCTAAGGGCTAAGTGGGCTCTTAAAATCTGGACTTATATTTTTGTGCAACCATGGGACAGTTTTATCTTGCCCAGCCCTCTGTCATGGGAAACATGAAATATATCTCCCAACCTGTTAGCTGCATGATTCACCAAGTTCTTCTCTAGAAATCAATTTAGTCATGACAGAGGTTAAAAGTAGAAAGATATTTATTGAAGGAAAGCTCCTGAGGGGCAGGAGGGGTCCCGAGTGGGTAGCCAAGGACCCCACTTTATAGAGTTTTATAGGGTGAAACCCACATGGGTACCATGTGGGCCACAGCCATGAACATCCAATAAGGTTACAAGTATGGTCACTTAGGTAATGGTGCTCCAATTGGAAAGCAAGTCACATAGTAAGCATGGATGGAAAGAACAAGGATTCTCCAAGGATGCGGTGGGTCCAGAGGTGTCTGGTCACCCACTGGGGTGGTCGATGCTATGTATACTTCACTAAGCCCAGTTCTTTGAAGAAGTATGTGTGTCTGGTCATCTTGTCTCCATCTTGAGGCCTAGTTTTCAGCTGTGTTGTGTTTCACCTTTATCCTGGCCCTCTTGAGGACTTGGCCCTATCTGACTGCATAGCTCATCTCTGTATTATATCACCACCATTCTTTCTGTTGTTTCTATAACTTTTGTCATTTAAATGTGGCAAAACTGGATCCATCTATGTATATTATTTTCCTTGTTAATTTTCGACTTGGCCCTGCCCATTCTACTATAAATTGGCTATAAACCTTGTCTATTTCCTCTTTCAGGGACTCCTCAGTTGTTGTAGGTCATCAATAGAACATTGAGCTTTTTGGGGGGCTGAGGGTGGAATCCAGAGCCTTTACACTGAGACACATCTCTAGCCCCCTTTCATGTTTTGAGAGAGGTCTGGGTAAGTTGTCCAGCCTGGGCTCAAACTTACAATCTGGCTTCAGTTTCAGAGTGCTGAGATTACAGGTGTGCACATTTGTCCTCAGGTGTTTTTCTTGATTCAAATTCCTTGGTTACCTTTTGATTTTGATACCAAACATCTGAGGTTCTCTTGCTACGCTCAGACAGAAATCACAAATAGGCAAAGTGTAACTAGCTTTCTTCAGTTTTAACAGCCCTGAGCTTTGAATACCAGCACCAGCTCTCAAGAGTTAGTGGCCCTACACCATTCTCCTGACAACTAAAACCAGCAGCCCTCAGGTACTCTTCTGGAGACTGAAGATGGTAACTCCCAGCAATTCTCCATTGGTCTCCTTCCTTCTCTGGCTCTTAGTTGCCCTCAGTGGTGTTCTCAGCTGTTAAGTACAAGGTCAGCCTGCTCTATTCAAATTATAAACCACAAATAGGCAAACCTGTCATCCAAAAGACTTATCAAGACTAATGCTGCGGCACAAGGAACAGTGAGTGCATGGATTTGCCCCCTGAGAATGAGAGGCTGCTTCTGTGAGAGTTGGCTCTAGCATGCAGTCAGACTTTACTTATAGGAAGGGGAGTATTTGAAGCCTAAAGTTTTGTATGCTCTACAGTTCTCCCGCTGTAGTTCTTCTCGGAGACAGAAAGCACACTAGGAGTCTCGGAGGCAAAGTGTAAAACAAGCTTTATTCTTAGCACTGGTGGGTCAGCCTGGGTTCACACAACAAGAGACTGACCCTTTGGGGTTGAGCAGGGCAGGTTATACTCTCAGGAGGGGGCGAGCTTACAGGAGTTACAAAGAGTAAATTCACTGGTTATTAGGCATTACAGACAGTAAGCTCAGTGCACAGTTACGCCTCATTGACATCTGGCGGGAGGTAACAAAACTATTTGAGAGCAAAGAAAATTTCTGAAATAACTGAGAGGACGTGCTGGGCTAAGCACTTCTGGACATATTGAGGGAATGGGGGAAAACTTCTCTCCTTCAGCAGAGGCACATTCCCCATTCAGGTTGAGGGTAGGGAGGGGAAGCCATGATACCTCCACACCTAACCTGAAGACAGAACGAAGAGGTGCAGTCATCCAGGCAGGCTGTGGAGTGATCTGGGATGGTCCAGCATCTCTCAGATGAGATGTGGCTGTTATAAGACATTTGGGGCAGCCAATGAACAACAGCAACAACAAAAACTTACATCTTAAGGGGCATGAGGCCTTTCTCTCCTGTCTGCCCTGTTTAATTGGATTGTACATTATAAGACTGAAGTCTTTATTATACTATCCTTCTCAATTCCTAACTCTTACAACTAGTTTTCTATTTTTCAAAGATCTTATTCCACCAATCCAACAAATACATTCTCTTTAGTTTCACAATTCTATTATCTCCAGTGAGCCCGAATCGTTCATCCATTCAAAAAGCCCTCCAGACTCCACTCCCTCCCCTCTTCCACAAGCCGGAGTTATATCTAACTCAGCAGTGATTCTCAATTAAGAATCAGAAATACCTACAATTTTTTCCAAATAAACTCGGCTCTACTGAGGCTCTCCGTTCATCGGACAGGGGCATGTTTCCCCTTATACACCTGCAGAGGTGATGCTGCGGCGTTTCAAGCTCTCCTTGCCCTCCCCCTGCTCGCCTCGGGCCGAGCCCTCGCCCAGGTGGTTGGAGAGGTCCTGGAGGCCCCTCACCACCTTTATTTCAAACTGCGTGGAAGGAGACAGGCGTGGGCGACCCCTCATGGGGTTCCGTGTTGTCTTGGAGCCAGGCCAAGCAGGCAAGGCCGCAGACCTAACCTCCCGAGGCCGGTGCTGCCCAACGGCCAGCCAGCCACGTGCGCAGAGTCGGAATCCCTGCGCAGGCGCACAGAGAGGTCCTGGAGGCCCCTCACCACCTTTATTTCAAACTGCGTGGAAGGAGACAGGCGTGGGCGACCCCTCATGGGGTTCCGTGTTGTCTTGGAGCCAGGCCAAGCAGGCAAGGCCGCAGACCTAACCTCCCGAGGCCGGTGCTGCCCAACGGCCAGCCAGCCACGTGCGCAGAGTCGGAATCCCTGCGCAGGCGCACACACACTCAGCCTCTAGGCTTGCAACGGCTGGGCGAAGCGGTGAAGGCTCTTTGGGCAGTAGCGGGGAGCAACACCTAAGGGGCCTCCCAGCTTCTTTTTTGACCCAGTTTACGGAACGCCTTAGGGCAGGGGGAAGGACAACTCCCCAGTGAGGAGTTGAGGGACGTGGAGGTGGGGAAGGCCCCCCGACCGGAGCAGCGTGGGCCGGAGGTGAAGGAGGTCGTCAACTCCAGGTACGAAGAGGCTAGGACCTTCCCGTCGGTTCTGGATAGAGAAAAAATACTGGCAGAAGGATCTTTAGTGGGTCTGTGGCTCCCAAATAGTCCTGAAAGATGCCATTTGATAAAGTTTGCACTGGATATTAACACCCCAAAAAGACTGAGTTAAGGCTTCTCCAAATTAACAAAACGAGCCCAGCTGGATTTCCCAACTAGCCAGGAGCGGCGCTTTCTTGAGACCCATGTGGGCTCATCAACACAGGTTGAGATTTGGGTTTTGAACAGTGAGGACTTAGGGATGCATAAATCCCGGAGCACCTTTACAGTACTGCTTCTGCGTTGTCGATTTTTAAATTCTCATTTTAGCTCTTTATGTTTACTATTGATTGTTTTAAGTTCACGGATTTGCCTGCTTTTCCTCACCAGCTGTGTTTCTTAAATTCTGCAGGGTACAATGTCAGAACAAGAGCGTATACAGGACTGTCTGAGGAAAGAAATAAGGTCACTTCTTATTTCCACTAAAGATGGTTTGACCCCACACCAGTTGGAAAAGGAGTACCTTTTGATGGTTGGCAACCGTCTACCACTCCGAATCCTTGGGTACCGGTCCACTATGGAGCTGGTGTCGGACATGCCCGATGTGGTTAGTGTCTGCCCCTGTGGGGATGGTGGTGTAATCCTGAAAGGTAGGTTTAAGATTTTTGAAGGTCTGTAAACTTTGTAATTAAAGACAGTCACTTAGTAAAGAATTCTTTTAACTCTGTGATTATTGTGTATTCCAGGCAGACAGTTTTAATTTTGGGGGGAGGTGGAATCAGTCTTTTGATGGTGTAGGCTGTTAGCACCATAGCAAAACAGAACAAAACAAAAAACAACCGTATTCTCAAGAACTGAATTTTCATGATTTCATATTATTGCACCTTAAGTTGGGAGAATCATAGCAATAGTTTTAAACTACAAAAATTTGTTTCAAATTCCATAAAATGTACATGTATATGGGCAAAACCTGTCCGTGCGCGCGCGCACACACACACACACACACAGAGTAATGGTTGTGTGGAAGTTTCTCATCCCAAGAATTTTGAATCCTTCCAGAGCTACAGTAATTATCAATTATATCAACCATTAGGTTCTTTCATTTTCTAGTAGAGGAGCTAGCAGGTTGTTGCCAAGAATGCAAAGGCTTTCTGTTTACCATTCAACTTAGGTAAACAGCTCTTTGGAGAGTTAAGACTTGTCTGTGTAAACATAGGTACAAAACATAAAGGGAGTAAGTCTTTCATCTAAATGTGATTTTTTTTCTCCCCACATCTCCTTAGCCATACCAGATGAATTCACCAAAGGAATCGCAAGTTTAGTCGCAAAGCAGAGGAGTAGCCATAAGGTTCAAAACTCCATGCAGAAGAGAAGGGCCAGTGTTTGCTCTGGGACAAGTTCTCGTCGAGTGCCTTACCGAGGAAGGGTATCCCCTATTCTTCCTGCAGTTGTGAAGAGTGAGTTGAAAGACCTCTTGGCATTGTCTCCTGTTCTCCTTTCTGATTTTGAAAAGGCATTTGCCAAGAGATTTGGACGATCATTTCAATATATGCAATATGGATTCATCTCTATATTTGAAGTGCTGAATGCAGCTTCAGATATTATTTCTATAGAGCAGACCAGAGCAGGTTCTTTATTGATGCTGAAGAAGAGTGTATCAGAGGAAAAGCATAGAGTATGGCCAACAGGTAAGCATGTTGACATTAATAATTGTATTGTGGATGAGCAAATATTGGAGAAGTCATTACATACAGAGGTAGCTAATGACTAGTCTCTGTAGGTTTGTTTAAGTTGAAACCTGGCTCTACCATGTGCAAGCTGAGTGATCTTAGACAAATTACTCTAAGTATTAGTTTCCTGATCGCTAAAACAAGATTTCTGGAATTGTGCTGAGGATCTTATATTAAATGTAAGGAGCCCATAAAGAGCCTCATGTTTAGTAAGCTCATAATAAGTGGTCACTAAAGGCCCAGGACTAGTGGTTATTTGTCATTCTTGACAGTATAGAGTTTATACACTGAGCAGAAGGACAATCTATTTTGGAGCATTTTATGCCTATTTAAGGGATTTTTTTTTGCTTCAAAGTCCAGGTTTAAACTAAGGTGAATCATGAGAATGTATCACATTTTTACAAAGCAGTTTTTAAATTGTGATGGATACTGTAGTTTGAAGAGGACACAGACACGATGTGGTCAGAGAAAGCTCTGAAGGCTACTGGATATTTCAACTCTTTCAACCTTCTCAATGTTTGTGAGGTACTCAGACTTAGGGAAACTGAATCATACTATTAAACTAACAAGAGGTGGAGTTGTATAAAGATGTTTTGCCAACTTATTGAATAGTAGGGGTGGATATTTCCCAGTGATTGTCTTGCTCATATTCATCCGTGGTCCCCTTTTCCAAGATCCCTTGGAATTAAATGGATTATTTGGTACTTAATCTTGGTATAAAGAGAGAGCTAGGCCATGGTGATTTCCAGTGTCACATCTTTCATGTGTGTGTGTGTGTGTGTGTGTGTGTGTGTGGTACTGGGGATCAAACTCAGGATCTTGTGTTTGCAAGGCAGGTGCAAGGCAGGTGCAGTACCACTGAGCTAAATCCCCGACCCAAGTCTCCCCACTCCAGTACCAGGGATTGAACTCAGGACTTGTGCTTGCCAGGCAGGCAAAGTGCCACTGAGCTAAATGCTCTACTTCATTGGAAAGAGAATACACTTTCCCAGTGATATTCCTCCCTTCCACAGATACTGAATAAAAAACTTAAATTCTAGGTAGGATCATATATTTTATTCTTTAATTTTACCTCTCTTTCCATACTACTAGGTGATATCTAGTTTGATAAGCACAGTTCTAATTACTCTCCTTAGCTGGAGACTTTGTTGTCCTACCACAGTTTTTCAGGTTTTTACCTATGAAATCCTGCTTTTCTATAATTAGATTCAGCTGACCTTAAGTGGTTTTAGCCCAACCTTTTTGGTAAAATGCTTATGTCGTGTGGTTTCCTTCTATGAATAACCAATCACTTCTATTGTATGTAAGTGTTATTGACAATAAAAAATGTAAGCTTCCTTTAATTTTTACTTATGAGTTGAGGGCAGTTAATTCTCAGCAGTCTCGGAGTATAACGAACAAAAAATAAGCTAGAAATTGGTAGTGACAATTTTTCTTCTTTTGTTATTCACAAAAGGTGAAATTTTTACCCAGCCATTTAGAATGAAACAACGAGGGTCATATTCTGCAGGCTGTCCAGTTGCAAAGCCATATTTTTCTCCACCAACTTCAAATATGGAACCACCAAAGCAAATAATGAGTGTGGAGAAGACTTCCACATTCAGTGTGGGGAAGACTTCAAAGCTGAATCACACTGAAAAATTAAACCAGGTGAGATATTTGAGTTTAGAGGTAGAAATACAGTATACTGAAAATATGCTCAGTGGTATTATTACTTATCTGGTGGGAAAGCTGACCCCTTAAACATTTAGCTCAGCATTTTCTGTGGTTCTTTTGATTAGTAAGAAAAGATGGGTGAGAAAAGAATACAATGTTATCAACCCTGGTTTCTACCATTTTCTGCAGATGATTCCTAAAAATATATCTCTAGTTTCACATTCTCACCAAAGTGATAGCAGCATATTTGCAATTTATTTCCTGAATATATTCACCTGAATGGTTGATCCCAATCATCACAGTCCTGGTATTCTTCTTGAAGAACTTTGAATAAAAACTACCAGAATATAACTGACAAAATCTTGGTTAAATTTGCCTGACAGGAACGTGTGTAAAGCTCAGAATAAACACACAGAAATTAAATTCAGGATATAAAAGTGCCTTGTTTCTGAAACTGAAAAAATTAGTTTTAGTAACATACACATAGTAAAATCTACCCATTTCAAACAGTTTAAATGTTGATGAATCTAGTCAAGTAATCAACATCAAAATGAAGAACATCTTCAAACAGTTCCTTCATACTACCTTATCATCTCTTGCCAGCTGCAGTCACAGTTACTACTGCTTTCTATATTTTTGACTTTCCATATAAATGGAATCAAGCAATAATCTAATCTTTTGTCTGGCTTCTTCAGTTTAGCAGGGTACTTCTGAGATTCATCCAAGTTATAAATTGTTCCTTCTCTCTCATTCAGAAGTATTTTATATTGATATAGCTCAATTTGTTATCCATTAGATAATATTTGCTGTTTTCTGTTTGAGGTTTTTAACTAATGAAAGCTCTGAATATTTGCATACATTTGTATGGAAATAATCTTGGTAAATACTTAGTAGCTGGATTACTAAGTCACACAGAAGGTTCATGTTAATAATGAATTGCCAATTTGTGGTTGGATGATTACGTTCCCATGAGATATGCATGACAGTTCTAGTTATCCTCCCTCTTTGTTAACATTTGTATTGTCAGTTCTCAAAATATTAGCCATTCGAGTGGACATATAGAGCTTTCTCATGTTTTTAAATTGTATAATAATACATCTGATGATAGATAATATTGCACATCTTTTCATATCCCTCCTTGCTACTTGTATATCATCTTTGAAGTCACTCTTCAGATCTTTGCTTTTTTAAAATATTGGGCTAATTACGCTTTTACTTAGTTGGAAGAATTATTTACATATTCTGAATCAAATCTTTTACTTTGCTTTGTTTTTTTGAGGGGATTTTTGTTTGAGACAGGTTGGCTGTGAACTCGATATAATCCTCCTGCCTCAGCATCCTGAATGCTGGGCTTACAGGTGTGCACCATGCCTGGCTTGGATACAAGTCTTTTTTATTTTATTTTATTTATTTATTTGTTTGTTTGTTTGTTTATTTTTTGGTGCCAGGGATCGAACACAGGTCCTTGTGCTTGCAAGGCAGGCAGTGGAACCACTGAGCTAAATCCCCCGCCCTCTGTTTAATATTTCTTACCAGGTAAGAATCAAAGTTTTCTACATGTGAACAACCAATTGTTCACTATTTGTTGAAAAGACACTCTTTTCCCTATTAAGTACTTTTTTTGTGTTTGGTATTAGAGATTGAATCCAAGGCCTTCGTACTATGCTACATCCCAAATACTTTTTTAAATATTTTGACTGGACTTTTTTTTTTTTTTTTTTTTTTTTTTTTTTTTTATTTTTTTTTAGTTTTTTTGGTTTTTTTTTTTTTTTTTTTTTTTTTTTGGTACTGGGGATTGAACTCAGGACCTTGGGCTTGTGAGGCAGGTGGCAGAGCCACTGAGCTAAATTTCTGGCCCCTTTTTAAATATTTTGAGACAAGATCTTGCTAAATTGCTCATGCTGGGCTTGAGCTTGTGATCCTCCTTCCTCAGCTTCTCACAATGCTGGGATTACAAGGCATGTGCCAACACACCTGGGTTAAACTCTTCTGTCAAATCTGTTAACAAAATAAATGTGGGATTCTATTTGGGACTTTATTCTGTAGTTGAATCTGCAACTTTGTTCTTCAAAATGCTTTGTCTGTTCTAGGTTTTTTCATTTCTGTAGATACATAGTTTGATGTAAATCAGCTTGTCAGTTCTTACAAAAATAAGCCAATTAGGGTTTTGATTAGAATTGCATTGGATGTATAGTCATATTTTGGGGGGAGTCTTTACAATACTGAAATCTGCTAATTCAATAGCATGGTATATATATCTCTTCTGTTATTTAGGTTTTTACATTCATCAGTGTTTTATAGCTTGCATTGTATAAGGCTTGCATATATTACAATTATTCCTTACATCTTTTAAAATTTTTGTTTTATGAACATTTGCAGCATATGACATTTACATTCATCTTGGGGAGTAGATGCATGTACATTTTTTCCTTTTATTATCCTCTTCCTACCCACCTCCCTCCCTCCAAATTCCCTTTCCCCATTTTCATTCTTCTTGGTATTATTTTAGCTCATGTTTCTGACACATAGTGTTCACATTTATGGTGGTTATTTGGTACCTGTACATGGCATATCATAAATCTTTTTCCTTCCGTTCTTTCCTTGGCTTTGGTTTTGTGGACCCCTTCCCATTTGCAAGAGCTCTTTCCACTTGTTTCCTTCAAGTCAGCCTTTATTTTTCTCTTTGTTTGCACTTTGCCTTACTCAAATGAGAGATATTTAAACTTGTATTTATGCTTCTGTGTCTGATTTACAGTGGACCCTTGACTTACCAATTTGTTTGCAAGGGCTAGTTGTAACTCAAGGTGGCCAACTGAAGTTTCAGGCTCCTCTGTGCACCCATCAAAGTCTCTGTCCTGTGAACAGGCAAACCTCAGTGTCTTGAGAGAGACATTGGCCTAGGATTTCTCAATTAACCCCACACAGGAAAAGATATTATAACATTCCTTCCAGAATTTTTTTTTTTTTTGGTACCAGAGCTGCAACTCTGGTCCTCACTCTTGCAAGGTGGTGGAACTACTGAGCTAAATCCCCAGCCCCTTCCAGAACTCTTTTAAGGGTTAAATCCGTATCTGAGACCATCTGGAAGTGCAAGTGGATGGCATTTGGGTCGTAACTCAAGACTTTGGTCATAAGTTAAAAAAAATTCTGGTCATAACCCAAGTTGTTTGTATGTCAGGCTGGTCATAACTTGAGGGTCCACTGTATTTCACTCAACATTATATTTTCCAGATACAGCCATTTTCTTACAGATGTCTCAAACTTTTCCTTTTTTATACCCAAGTAGTAGTCCACTATGTATAGGTACTATAGTATTATCCATTTGTCTGTAGATAGGCATTATAGGTTGCTTCCAGAATTTAGCTTTATGAATTGTGCTTCTATAAATATTGATATGCATGTATTGCTGTAGTATGATGTCTTTATTTCTTTCAGGAGGATACCTAGAAGGGAAATAGCTGGGTCACATAGAATTGCTAATTTTAATTCTTTGAGAAATCTCCATACTGATTTCCATAATGGTTTTACTGGTTTACCTTCCCATCAGTAATGTTCCTTTCTGATTGCAGCCATGCCAGCATTTGTAATTCATTGACTTCTTGCTGATTCCCATTCTTTTCTGGTGTAAAATGAAATCTTAGTGTTTTTAATTTACATTTCTCCAATGGCCACAGATGTTGAACATCTTTTTCATATGTTTTTTGGCCATTTGTAGTACTGCTTCTTAGAAGTGTCTATTCATTTTACTACCCCTTTTACTATTATAAATGGTATTTTCAAATTAATGCTGGTATATAAAAAAAATCAATTGAATTTTTATATTGACTTTGTAATTGAAATATACTAATCTTATATCCTGTGACCTTAAACAAGTTACTTAAATGTTGTTCAGGTAGTTCTGGTAGCTGTTTTGCGGAGCTGAGATTTTTCTGCACAGATAGACCATCCATCATAACATCTGGAAGTAAGACAGTTTTATATCTTCCTTTCCAATCAGTGTGGCATTTCCTCCTCTTAGCATTCAGGTTAAGCTCCTAAGAACAATATTAATAGAAATATGAGAATGGAAACTCTTGCCTTGTTCTTAACTGTAGGGGGAAGGCATTCAGTTTTTCATCATTGTTTTTAGTATAGATGTTCATTTTCAGGTTGAGGAAATTGCCTACTTTCTAGTTTCTGAGAATTTTGTCATGATTGTTGAAATTTGCCATGCTTTTTCTCCATCTGTTGAGATTATTAAAGAACCTTTCCTTTTAAAATTACATTGCTTAGTGTTAAGCTGACCTTGCATTGCTGAATGAATCCTACTTGGTCATCATATGTTATCATTTTTTACATATTGCTACACTCATCTTGTGAATATTTTATTAAGGATTTAATAAGAAAATTAAAGATCAAATAAAATAACCAAAATTCCAATGTTAAAATCACATTTTATAAAGCAGTAGCTCTTATACTTCAATTAGGGTTCCAAAATGGAAATGTAAAATTCTCAAACTTTTTTTTTCTGGAAAAAATAAAAGTAGCAAGTACATTAAGTTAATATTTTTGAGACTATATATTTTTTCTAACATTTTTTATAAAAATTCAACATTTCATAATCAAATAAGAGAATAGCAGTAGTTATCATACTGTGCATCATCTTCAAACTAGTTACTCAGCATATAAGACATTAACCGAAAAGATTCTTACAAAAAAGAAACAGATAATACAAAACTTTTCTTTTCGGTGAACTGAGATAAACTAATTATATAAATGAAACCAATTAGCATATAATTGAATTTTTAAAACACTGAAATTTGTATTTTTGTGAAGTATTTGAACTTTTCCCTACTTCCTATTTATTGCTCTTCTGTTGCTGTGTGTGTGTGTTGTTTCTCTTCTATAAGAGACACCATGAGATATTTGAGCTGGTGTGTCTGGTTTATTTCACTTAACATTACCTTCTCAAGTTGTATCCATTTACTTACAAATATCTCAAATTTATCTTTATA